GTTTGCCAAGTCAACGATCTCATTTGTTCATTTTGCAGTGAAAACCATATTTATGATAATTGTCCACATAACCCTGCTTCCGTTTTTTATGTAGGACATGGGAACAATAGGAACTTTAACCCATATTCGAACACCTACAACCCAGGTTGGAGGCACCACCCTAATTTCTCATGGGGAGGTCAAGGAGGTTCGAGCGGTTTTAATCAAGGGCAGAGCCAGCAGAACAAGCAGCCCTATGTTCCACCTACACAGCAATACATCCCGCCACCGCAACAGCAGTACAATCAGAGAACACAGACTCCACCAGTTCAAAATAACAACTCAAATCTTGAGAATATGATGAAGGAGTACATGGCCCGAACCGAYGCAGTGATACAATCCCAAGCGGCATCAATGAGGAATTTCGAGACCCAATTGGGACAGCTCGCCAATGAATTGAAGAATAGACCACAAGGTTATTTTCCAGGCCATACTGAATTACCAAAACGAGAAGGGAAAGAATAGTGCAAAGCTATCACCCTTAGAAGTGGACTGGCATATGATGGACCAACAATGCCAACAACGGATGTACAAATTCCGTCCGCTGAACCAAATGTAAAGATACCAGAGAATCCAACAACACCAGAAAAAGAAAATATTAGAAAAGGTAATGAGGACACCCCGAGTGTTCCTCCACAGGTACAACCTTCTTTTACCCCTACTCCCTCGTTTCCACAAAGATTAGTTAAGAAAAATAATGATTCCCAGTTTAGAAAATTTTTAGATATTTTAAAWCAATTGCATATAAATATACCATTAGTAGATGCTCTAGAACAGATGCCAAATTATGCTAAGTTTTTGAAAGATATAGTTTCTAGGAAGAAAAAGATAGGAGAGCATGAACTGCTAGCCATGACAAAATGTAGTAGTGAAGCTGTAGGCAGCCCGCTACCCATGAAATGTAACGATCCTGGCAGTTTTACCATTCCATGTTCCATAGGAGGGAAAAACTTAGGTAGGGCATTATGTGATCTAGGCGCTAGCATTAATCTTATGCCATTATCAGTTTTCAAATCTTTAGGCATAGGAGAAGCTAGACCTACTACGGTTACCCTCCAACTAGCAGATAGATCTATCATAAGACCTGAGGGAAAGATAGAAGATGTTTTAGTTCAGGTGGACTAATTCATTTTCCCTGCGGACTTTATCATTCTAGATTGCGAGGCAGACTTAGACGTTCCCATTATTTTAGGAAGACCATTTCTAGCCACTGGGGATACAGTTTTTAATGTGAGGAAGGGAGAAATTACAATGAGGGTAAA